ACTAGGACTTCCAGTCTGGCCTGTGAGCTCGTGGGGGCAGTGCCATACAAAGAGGGTGGAGATATAAATATAATGGGGCAGGTCAATTGTAGTGCGTCAGACTTATTTCATACTCCGCACGTGGAAGGGAACATTCTGTACTTAGATAATGCACACGCCCCCTCCTCCTCTCTGTTACATCACACGGCCCTCCTCCTCTCTGTTACATCACACGCATGCACAGACAAAAAAAAACAACAACTTCAGCTTTGACACAATCACCATATCATGTCAACATATCAACATCACCCACAAACGCCGTGCACTCTCACACTGTTGTGAGAAGGGGAGCAGCATCCGCAGAGGCACCTCCTCTTCTATGGAATTGTTTACAGCTCCACTGTAGGAGGAGCTGGAGGGCGGCTGCAGGCCAAACATGTCCGGCCAAGTTGCTTTTTTTCCAACAGGTTTTTTTCTTGGAAATGTGGATGTTCTGCCAATGAATCGAGCAAAGTGGAGGCGGAGTTCCATTGCGGTGCGATCTGGGGAGAGGGCAAAACCTCCCTGCAGTGTTTGGGCTTATATAGCGTATGTTGTGCTCAAAAAGGGACTTTGTGTTATTGCTCTTGCAGTCTTCTTGAACCTTTCCTTCTGCACAAGTTGTTTCTCATTTCGTGCGATCATTGGAGTATTCACGATAAACTCGTTTTTAAGCAATGAGTCACTGCTGCATTACAAACAAGATTTTAACCTCAGCTGAAGGGGATAGCCTATTTTTGCAATTTAAGAGGTGTGGCACTGTTGTGAAATGTTACTACAACAGTATCGAGGCCACATTAACAAACATCATGATTTATCTTTGAGAGAAGCACAGGGCCCCAGGCATAGGAGGAGAGCAGTGCAGGAAAACACCTCAGTGTCATGACTTAGTCTGAGTTACTCCATTCTGATGTAAACAGCCCCAAGGGAATAGCCTGTTTCCAAATAGCAGATCATGCCAGGGAATCATGCCTCTGGACAGGGAACTGTCCAGAGGCAGTGTTTCTCAATGCCAGCAAGGCCAAGGCTCTGTGTGATTTTCTAGGAACTTTACTCATGAATGGACCACCCACTGCACTGGATGCACTCTTTTTTTTTTCTTTTGAAGCTGAGTCGTGTTACACTTTCGACTGGACTTTGTACATTACTCTCTTGCAGATTATATACACATAGTATGTATGTATGTATGTATGCAACAAAACAGACTAGAAGTGCTGAGGAACAGAGAAAAGTGCAGACTGTGACGCAGACACAGAGTAGTTACAAGGGCATTATGGCAACCAGTACATAATCTACTCTGCTTATAAAACCTGATAACCTTTCATGTGGAATAGGTAGATTACTGTTAGTAATCATAATATATGTCATGATATAGTTATCTGTTGTTACATTCATGCTTCTCTATGACTGTTGATATTAAACATAATATTTAACAAAGAACCTATACAATGAGGATGGACGTGTTATAGTGTGTTATGCAGGTATCTACACTACACATTTCTGTACATTATGCAAAAAAAGTGCTAATAAAATGTATTTTAAATTAGCTCTTATTTAAATTGACAGTTTGACTTGGGCAACTTCACACAAAAACAAATTGACAGTGTCTCTATGAGAGAAATGAAGAGAATGCATTAATTACAATACCAGCTGACTGTTACCAGGTTACACAGTCTATATAATTTTACATAAAAATGTCTTACATCGGTTTCCGTCATAACATTTTCTCACATCTGTTTCTCTTATCTCTTGCAAGAAAGACAAAAAACTCTATTACACACTGCCAGCATAAACGGACTATGTGCACAGAGTCAAGTGAGTTCATGGCATTGAATAGTTCAAATGTAAAGCTTCGAGGGGCAGGTGAGGACTGCACTAATTTAGGATCAGACCATGGTTGTGTAACTGGGAGACAAAGTGAGACCTGTCCACAGCTATAACATTATGGGCCACAGTGGCTGGGTCGCATTACATCCAAGAAAACATAAAACATCTCTCTTTATTACACACATTACTGATCTCTGGTTGGATTATGGTAACCTAACAATATACCTGGGAATGTTATGAGGGCCAGATTATACATAAGGATTCATACAAGTGCTTGAAACAAGTAAGAAATCACGACTAATTGTCACTGAATTTGTGGACCACACAAATCTTACACACTTTCTTACAAATAGACCGACTGGTGTAACAGCTGCATTAATGTATGCCTCGTATCTAAACCGCTTACATGGTTTGACCTTCACTGATTGTTAACGCAGAGCAATTAGCTTTGCAGCTGTAGGCGGGGCATCCAACAACACCAACCACCACTGGCTTCCTTAGAAACAACCAAACATCGAACTGCAGTCTCCAAACACAAAGCAACAATTAGCTACTTCCAAACGTCGGTGCAGCCCGTGATATGATGTTGCCGTGCATCTAATTTCTCCTCCTGAAAAATGTAAATAGTGGCTTCATACGTCTGTGTCTTTATTCTCGTTTTCTTGCATACAATGCATGTCCATTTCGAGCAAATCCCCGTGATATTGTTGCATCAAAATGAATGTGACTCTATTAATTATTCCCCCAGCAAGTAGCTTTACAAATATGACAGTGGCGCACTTGTATACAAACTCAGGAGTTTCGCAATAACATGCTCTCTGGGGGCGTGTAATGAGGACGTTTGAACTCAGCTACCCCGTTGTAATGTTGCATTCAAGTGCCCTCTCCAAAGAGTCTTACATATGGAAGCCTGCAGTACCTGAACGCAACTTCAGGCCGGTCCTGCCCTCTTTTCAGCAATCCCAGCCTGTGATTGATCCAGTGTTTCATCACTCACTCCAGTGAATGGGCAACTCCTTAACGCGAGTCATGTTTCCTCTCAGCCAATCGCAGCACCGCATTGTGATGACACCGTGGGATTCCGCGAAATTGTTTCTTGGAGTTGAGAGAATTGCAGCCCACAGTATAATAGGACAACTTGACGCATGTGTCGGAGCACACAGAAGGACGGAATATACGCAGGCACTGTAGCTCAGTCGATTAACGGGGTGTTTTATTGATCTGGCTTTTAGAAAAAAAAGGATCTAGATGGAGAAGGAGAGAGGAAGAAATTCAAACTGATATCTTTGCTGTAGCTGTGTTTATTTATCCGCCCTGCAACCTCCACAATAAAACGCAGCCTTTGCGGAATAGTCACTTTGAAGACGACAAGTGTGGATGCTTAACCACATTTGCCCTTGGATGGCTGCGGATTAGTTAATGGCATCCACATTGTCTGATTGTTTTTGAATAGCCTCTACAGCTACTGTATCTAGCCTACATTGTTCCTTTTCTCCACCCGGACCTGCTGTATAGTGATGTCAGAGGTTGATCTCTCTGCAGACTGTGACCTCAGCCGACCACCGGAGCGGGCAGAGGACATGTTGAAAGAGAACCAAGAGAACAGGACTTTAATGATGGTGGCAATGATTTTATTGGACTTAAACAAATGCAATCCAAACGCTGTCAGCCCTGGAGACAGCATATGTCTCGGAGGCAGCGACGCGGGTGCGCTGGAGAAGGTGGAGCGGGGAAGCTGCCGGTCTAGCGCTGTACCCAAACAGTCCCGGAGCAAGAAGGCGGTGGCGAGACAGGAGTTTTGTGAGAAGAGACACTGCTGTCCTTTTACTGGCTGTGGGAAGATGTACGGCAAGTCGTCCCACCTCAAAGCCCACTTAAGGGTCCATACCGGTAAGTGGAGGCTCTACTGGAGGCTGACAATTATGGGCTCGATTCTGTTGACGACAGCGAAACCGCTCTGCGTCACGTCTGCTGTGAATTGTTTTCAGACGCAACTTTGACATCACTGTTAAATCTTTGATGCAATTTCTTGCACTTCAAGTTTGCAGGAAAATAAAAGTTACAGAACAGTCTGTGAACAATTTAGCAAGATAAAATATAATTATATAATTTATCAACGAATGGTGTCTAATGTTATAGACTGAGCCCGCAGTCCATGCTGTGTCTGTGTAATGTGACATAAGGAGTGTAAGTGAGACACCACATGTTCCTGCAAATGAATAACCCACTATATGGAAGGTGGTCCCATGAATTTGCCACCGCTGGAGATGTGACTGACGGGCCCATAACGGGCTGAACGGGGGTGGTAAGAGGCTTGTATGTCACACACGAATGCGATCTGGGAACACCACGTGCTGCCGCCTATATTTGGGATATTTTGGTAGATTGTTGAAGTGTGATAAATCCTCCTGGTACACAATGATTATGTTTTCAAAATAATGCCTCAGATGTGTATTCTATGAATCGCGTTATTTACATATGGTTTGGGGCATCACAATTATTGTAATAGTAGCGCATAATGTTTGTCTATAGCTGGATTTTGATTCACATGCAGGTCACTGCGACACTGTTGCCTCCGCATGTTCTTGTCCGATGATAACCCTCCATGCGCCAGCATTTCCTCATACGTAATCCTCCTCCACGCCCGTCATGTGGGGTTGTAAACAAGGGTAGACATGTGGTTCAACGGAGCACATGTTGGAGGAGGGGGGCAACAATCTTTATTTCTTACCATGACGCATCATTAGGGCCCGAGCACCGACGTAGTCGGAGCGGAGGACTCATTGTTATTGTAATCTGTATTATTATTATTATCGCGTGTGTTTCGTCGCAAAAAAAGGAGGTGCTTGGGATACTGGAAAACTTTTGAAATGTGGCATGCAAGCCAGGCTCGATAGCGCCCCCTATTGAGTAGCCCCAACATTGGGTTTCACCCAGCTGTATGAAATTTGGTAGGTATGTGGAACTTTTGAAATGAGATGATTCAGAAAATGTTTCATACAGATTTCCAGGGCAAAAAAGCATTACGTCACTTTTGGTTCTTAGAGAACCTGCTTTAAACATTTGTAAATATAATGGATTTTGCAATTCTTTTTTTTTTTTTACACACAGCAATGGGGTTTATGGGTCCCCAAACAATGAGAGAGAAAAGCCAAAATCAGCAAACCCACAAGGCTTAGAGTTGAAAATATATGCAGTTAAAAGTGGTAATCCACAATTCGTGTGTGTTTCCCCAGGTGAGCGCCCCTTCGAGTGTACCTGGTCAGCATGTGGCAAGAAGTTCTCCAGATCAGACGAGCTGACGCGTCACTACCGCACACACACCGGCGAGAAGCGCTTCAACTGTCCGATGTGTGACAAGTGCTTCATCAGGAGCGACCATCTGACTAAACATGCCCGGCGACACGCAGGCTTCCATCCCAGCATGCTTCAGGGCTCCAGTGTGGCCAAAAGATGCCGCTACTCTGTGTCCCTGTCCTCATGTGACTCTGGAAACCAAAGCCCTGTCGGGGTGTGAGACACACCGACTCACACCACTAAACATACAGGATATACAGGATATACATAAACATAGACACACCATACATGTGGTGTCTGTACCTTTATCAACTCAACCAGCCAGAGCACTATTTAATCAGGTTTTCTGTACATGTAACAATGTGCATCAGCAAACAGAAACACACTTGAACCTGAATGTAATCAACCTAGAACTAGAGCTCTCTTATTCCCTAATGTGATTGGAATTTATTCAGGGTTTACGTCATCTGACACACAGGTTCTAGTTGCTTACCAATTTGTGATTATTTAACTTTGTGTTGTGTGCTTTTTTTTTCCACTGGAAGAATCTAAAATCCTGGAGGCATTTGTGTACATATATAGTTTTCATTAACACTTCATGAGTTCACTTTCCACCACAGACTTCATTTGCAGGCGAAGAAACAACAATAAAACAAATCATTACTTAGATATTCCTAGTGGGTTAAGATGTTTTGGGAATAGTCTTTTAGTCAATAGTATTTCACGTATGCATACTATGAACAGTTACTCGCCACTCCAGGACGAATCAAATGTACAGTATAGCAGTGTTATCATGTAAATAGATTAAACAGATTAACTTTCAGATGGATGATATACTGTAGTTATTGGAGAGTTATAAGACAAAGTTATATTATAGAGACAGACAGAGCTTGGGTATTTCATTTTGTATATTTGGCTAAGGACTTAGTAAATGAGGTATACTGTGAGCTTGTAGGTATAGTTTGTACAATTGTTTCTTGTGTTGAAATGGCATCGCATAATGATATAGTTGCAAATAATTGACCATAAGCCATAAGAAAATTGCAGTTTAATACATTTACCCCCCCCACCCCACCCCCATCGTTGCTTTTTCAGGCTTGAACTATGTCAATAGTGCAGGGGTCAACAAAACAGGGTAACGCCTTTACAAGATAACTTTTACTTGCATTGGAAATACGTTTCGATGTCAAGACCATGACGACTCATGTTTAGTTAAAGTTTGTAGAGTTTTGTGCCTTTTGAAGGGTTCTGCAGCAGAGATGAATTTCTACATTTTCAACCTTTGGAAATACCACCTGAATGAACATCGACAGATTATTTTGGATATCAATGACTTTTATGCCAACAGTGCCAGTTGCTGTACATTGAAACTTACTTTTGTTTACTCTGTATCTGGACTGCATTTTATCAGGGAATAATGTGATGCATGGGATTTTCAGTTAATGCTACACCCCCTAGTGGTAATATGGAAGCACAACATTTCTCACAAATAGTCAAAAAAACATTTAATTTTATGTCCTCGCATTTTGAGGCAGGCTCTGTTGATTAGTTGGATGGTGAATCAGTTAATTCCATGTAGCATGTTTGTATGTATTTGTTTAATACAATGTATTTTTATTTGACTGTTAATCTTTTAGAATATTAATAATAGTATGCGAGGTCTTATTCATCCACTATAGGAGCTATAAACATTGGTGATGTCATTCATTTTCTTTTTATACTTGCCACATGATGCATTAAACGTCCAAATAGAGTAAGCTTGTAGAACACAAACTACATATATTTAAAAAGTGAAATGCTGTATTTCTTCTCTGGCAGTATGACAACTGTGATTAGATGTTGGTGCTTCTCAGGTTGAGCCCTCGTGATGCTACTGCACTGTAATCAGGAACTGTCAACGCAGACCCCACGCTATTGCAATAGACATAGCTGTGTAATGATTACTGTTCAAACGATTTATCATTAAAATAGTTTTTCTTTCTAAACATTTCCTCATTATTTCCGTCTCTCATCCCACACTGTATACTTCACACCGTTTGTTAATAAATAGGTGCTCTTCTTTAATGCTGATGAAATACTGCAAAAAAGCTATATCAACCTGCTAAGTTAGAACCAGGAGTGCTCCATTAGCTTCGTGTTTATTTATTGTTTTCATACACCGCACTTAATAACATTGTTAAATACTGTAATGGAAGTGTTTACATTACAAGAAATTCATTTAAAAAAGGAAAACCAAAGAAAAACAAGTATCACCCGTGTCTACGTAAAAAAAAAGAATAACTTCATAGACAGCAAACGCTCTTCAAGTAAACTAAATTATCAAGATGGCAATAAATACACACATATTTCAAATTTCTCTGTACTTAAGGCATAATCTAATTGCAAATTATCAGCTGGTTTAAGGGAGGGATCGGTCGTACATGAAAGATATTAGTGCTCCAAGTCAATAATCCTCGATGTTACAATAACAAAACAATTTCCAACCCATTTGTCAAAAGAGATTAGAAGATGGTATCTCACTCTTTATGTTGGCATTGTACATCTGTATGCATGCATATGCATATATGTGTGTGTGTTTGTGTGAAAGATGAGAAAGGGTAAATCTTTCTACTGTCTGAAACGTGTGCTTGCTTGATGATTTGTGGCATCACAACAGAAATGAGAAGGAAGGAGTGTCCACTGATCAAGAAAAGATTTAGGGGGGGATCACAGCAGAGTGTGCTGAAAAATCAATCTAGAGGCCCCCACCGTCTATTTGGCCTTGATAATATATCAATCGTGTGAGCATCATGTGTTAGAGGGTTGTTGCAACAATATATAATCTTCCTTTTTTGACACAGTTCATATCAGATAAGACACTGTCATTGCTATGCAGGAAAGAGTAAACAGATATGGGCCCAAATAAAAATAAAACAAAAATGTGCAAATTCAAAACAATACAAGTCCACAACAATGCCACTTGTAGTGCAACAGTAGCATGTGATTGCACAATAGAAATGGGGCAAAAATCAAGTGTGCAACGAGCCAATTTGTTATTATTTTCCTTTCTATTATTCAGTCCAGCGCTCTCATGCAATTTGTTCCGCAGCCATTCATGTTCATACATTCATTACTATTGGAGAGAATGCAAAAGTATTGAGGGTGGTGTGAATGAGTGCAACAACCTGGCCTGTGCAACTTAACAACCCTGTACAGTACAATGAATACGGTACTAGATATTCTCTATTTAGGGATACCAAGACCGCAGTCCACAGTTCTAAAATATCCCCACGTCAACACACACAATCATACGTATCCCTCAAGCCTAAAAAAGTAAGCATTTAAATAAAAATGAACAAATAAAAAAACCTAGAAAAATGCAACCCAGAATTCAGTAAGGTAAGTTGAGTCAGCAGTTATGATGGTTGTTATTCTTCAGGGAAATGGAGTTAACTTTATGGCATCAATTGACCTTCTGTTTCATGTCCTCTAATATCAGTGTGTTACATCCCGTTCACCAGAAGAAGGGCTCTCAAACACAAGTGCACGTCCTACCATAGGAGGAAACCACCACTTTTACTCATATTCTAAATACATATTTAATATTTTTAAATGTGTTCCTCGTCCTAGATTTTAAACCAAATACTCGATATGTAAATTTGATTATTTCTCATTGCCATTATCATCATAGCACTTAACTGTCATTACAATACTCTACCAATGCTTCACTGTGGCGGCAAAGTAAACTCACAGCAGATGAAGATTGGGGATTATATTGTGTGGAAAGGGGAAGAAGGTCAGAGGGGTGAGGTTACTGTATTTGACAGGTGGTGGAGGAGGTCGCCTGGCAGCACATGCAGGTGGGGTTGACTGATTTGGGCGGGATCAGATCCAGGTCCTCGTCGTCCGGGATCTCGTCTAGACGGTAACCATCTTTCAGCAGCTGTATGTTCAGATCCTGATTGATTTGCTGAAGAGGGGAAGACAGACAGAGGAGGTTGATGGGTTTGAGCAACGTTTCCCAACCACAGGGACGCGGACCAGCACCGGGTCACAGAGCACACTTTTCTAGTGAGCCACGCCCTGTTACTCCCACAACAACTGATTTTAAACTAAAGTAGGATATCAGTATGTGAATCAGTCCATCATTAGCTGCTCTATCTGCATGTGGTGTGTAGATTTCTTCTGCCAGATTCTAATCTGACTCGTCCAGACATTTTGATGCATGAAGCTTTGGGCTCAGTTTGGGTTCAGATTTGATTATTTTCATTCTATTCTGATTGTCTGCTTCCATGTCTGTCAAGTAAATGTTAAATTGATGCTAAATGTTAAATGGACTTGTGCTTCTATAGTGCTTATCTTTCGACCACTCAAAGTGCTTTTACACTACAGGTCATTAACCCAATCACACACATTCATACACTGATGGCAGGGGCTACCAGGCAAGGTGCCACCTGCCCATCAGAACTATCTAACCATTCATACCCAAACGCACAGCATTCAGGAGCAATTATGAGGTTAAGTGTTTTCACCATGGAGGCATTGACATGGACTAGCGGAGCGTTGCAAGAAGATACACAATGCCCAGTGGGAAGAGCAAAAGAGGAGACAGAGTGTAGCTAAGGTTAGCTAGCAGTCAATTAGGGATGAAAAATATCAATAATAAAACTTAGGGTTTCGGCTCAAATTCGGGTCTCAGAAGCTACAACCAGATGGTTAGCTTAGCACAAAGACTGGAAGTGGTCTGGTTCTGTCCAAATGTAAGAAAAGCTGCCTACAAACACCTCAAAAACTCACTAATGGATCAGTTATATCTTGTTTGCATGAGCCATAAAAACCAGAGGTGTATAAACGATATTTCAACATTTTAAAGGGGTTTTGCGCCAACAAAACACATCTTCCTCTGGCTTTATCAGATTGTGACAATACACAATTTACAAATCTCAAATTAGTTTGAGCTTGTGAACTAGGCTGAGTAAAATGTACAGTGGTAACCATGGCAAACTAAATTAGGGCACTTTCACAGATGGCTGTAATGATCATCACTTGGAGCTTTGTCATGAATGTGATGACTACTACTGTCCTGCTGGGATTTTTTATTTAGTAAAATAATGACATTGTTTGCATGCAAAACTGAAGCAATGTCTTTAATCAAGATCCCAGCATTGACTTCTTTATGTATTAACGGTCTAGTCTACTAGATCAGTGTTTTTCAACCTTTTCTGAGCCGCGGCACATTTTTTACATTAAAAAGATCCCGCGGCACAAAACCAAAAACCTTACAAAATGACACCTTTTAGCATAATACAGCATACTGTATATGCCAGGGGCTTCAAACTCAATCCCAGGGAGGGAGAAAATAAAGAATTGGGACTACGTTGAGGGCCAAATAGGGTCAACATTTAATAAACAGGATAGAAGGGATATTGGACAAAGTGCAAAAAGAATACATGTTTAGGCAGGCTACTTTATTTTATGCATATGTGCCAGAGCCAGATGTTTGGCATCTTTTCTTGGCTGCCAGTTCATTAATATCTGGGGTTAGGTTCTGTGCTGTGGAAACCCTCAAGATGGAGTGAAGGTGCATCAGTGAGACGACTCCTGTGTGGGTTTTCGTTCATCTTCATCACAGAGAAAAGCTGCTCACACAGGTATGTGCTTCCAAACATGCAGAGCATTTGAGCAGCATATAAGCGGAGTTGAGGCATCGTTTCGGGGGTGAAGCTTTGAAACTGCAGCACCCTCAGAGTCATACTTTGCCTTGAGTGTCATTACACTGGAGGTCTATCAGCTCCACGGGTGCTCTTTCCACATCAACTGCAAACGGATTGCTGAGCAGTACAAATTTAAATTTCTGGGCTGCAACGTCAGCAAATCGCTGGGTGAACTCTGTACCAAGTTCGCCCAGTTTATCAGCAAAATGCGCAGTCGGGAACACAGCGGTGGAGACTTTTACTGCATCACACATGTCTGTGATCACACGTCCCCGTCCCTGAAGCATCGTCACTTTTCGTCCCGGAGCTCTGTGGTGTGGCGGGCCAGTTATGATAAACATATGGTATTTTCTCGCGGGCCGTTGTACCGAGGGCCGGATATATGCTGACAATTTAATGACAAGTCTCTCAATGTGTTGATCCTTACGAGGCTTTTCATCTGGGTTATTTTGTCCAGGGCCCAGTTCAGAGTCTGCATTTTTCCTTTTCAAATATTTCTCCATCGCTGTTCATCTTGTCACCTCAACTTCTCCCGCGCGTCATTTCATTCTACTGTCCTAAATTAACACGGTCATTACTGCGCTACCTGATTTTTATGTGTGAGATGTTCCTCTGTTGTCTACGAGCAACTACAGTAATGATGCTAACACATGAATCAGACAATGCACAGGCATCTATTTTTCTTTGTGTGAGACCGAGACAAACCAAGTAAAAATGCGGTCAATGCGGAGACAAAAACAAGACCTTCAAAAAGTAAGACCAATCTTCAGTACTACTACAGTGACGCCTACTATACACTGCCTAAACAGCAACCATAATTCCTTACTTTGTTAGCTACAGTACAATCATACTGCAGCCACGGTGTATTGCTTGCTCAGAACTTGCTGTTGTTAGCCAATACTAAGAAAGAGGAGACAATGGCTGAATTATTTCAGACAACATGGTGGACTTACAATCTGAACACCTCTGGGCTTTTTCATATAACATACTGTACAATATACCCACAAGCCTGAAAGTGTCAGAGACAGAAAATGTATGTACAGAGTGGGAACGACGATTCCTGGACAATAAATATGATGTGTCTGTGTTTTGCACTTTAATTGGCACTAGTGTTGAAAACAGTATTTTCAGGAGCAGACACCCATAGATGACATTTTATTTGTTTCCCGCTTTGTGCCTCATGCACATTTATGTGCAGGTGCGTCCGCAATATAATGATGCGCTTGTGGCAAGCAACATGCTAACAGAGTGAACATGGAAGAGCAGGATGGATATAAATGGGTTTTGCTTTGAGTCTGGCTTAAAAAGGCTCTTGGCCTCTTGACCAACATGGGAAATAGAAGGAAGAAAGCAGGGTAGGGAGTGAATTGGAGAGTGACTGTGAGGTATAGAACCAGATATTTGCTGTATCACATGTCTCACCTCAGCAGAGGAGTATCCCGACGATGAGTATCTAGACATGTCAAAATCGTCATCACTGAAACAAACAAACAACACAAATTAGCTTAGAATGTCTGTGTTTACGGTGTTAATGTGACAATAACTGTATTAATGTGTGTGTGTTTGTGCATGTGTGTGTGTGTGTTTACCTGTCTGTGTCTAGGGCCACCAAGGGCTTCTCATCTGGGCTCTGGTCTAAAGAGGAATAGCCTTTATTGGGCACTACCAACCTGCAGGGAGGGAACAGAGAAAAAGAGTGAGAGTGAGGGAGAGGAGGGAGGGGGGGAATAAATGATCGGAGGAGCAGAGATAGGGAGTAACAGAATACGACAGGAAAGAGTGGAAGAGGTAAAATGAATTCACAAACAGGAAGAACCGAGTAAGATTGACAAAGATGGTGAAAGAAAAGGAAGGCGGGCCCGGAGGCGACATCACAATTGAACTACAGTCACAGCTGTTACTACAATAACAACAGAAGCAGGAAAGAGGTATAATTTGTAACTCTGACATCTTACAAACCCTAAGTCAATAAAACTATGCTCCTGCCAACCCCACTGACAGACAGAGATAATGGACATGAGAATAAAATCTATCTGGTCCAGCCCAGGAGAACATGTTTCTGATCTTGCACATACAGTACACACTATGATGTAAACCGAACAGAATCAGGGGGCAATTCATTTGTGATAATGTTTGCGTGTGAAACAAATGTTGGAATCAAAATAGACTTTAATTTGAAATTGTATTGTGTTGTGGCTTTTGTATGTTGTTTCTCAAAATACATCATTACATTTTCTACAGTATTTGTACACTTATATCTAGTACAGAGTGGGACAACAACTTCATTTTTACCTTATTTTAGTAAATTAACTTGTATGTGGTCAGCTGTTGGTAGAACAACAAAACAGGGCAATACTACACCAGAATAAGGACTTAAATTGAGTTTATCGCTAAAACTAAAGACATTTTAATGACTGTATTAGCTAAGAAAGACACCAGCTACCATCTCATTTTCTCCACAAAATCACAGCGCTCACTTCTTACCGTGTTCTGGCCATGACGTTGTTGTTCTTCTTGGGCTGCTGGTTGACTGGACTACCTACAGTGTTGCCGTTCTTCAATGATCCCTTCCTGGCCAGCTCTCTCTGTTTCTCTGCACAAGAAAAAAAAAAAAAACAAGCACAGGCATCAATCTCAATCTTGGCATTAAATAACTCTGGAAGTCTGATCAGGTTGTGAAATTTACTTTAAAAAAAGGTTCCCAGATTAGACAAGAATAAATCTGTATAATTTAAACACACACTCATCAGGAAGTCCGACTTATCGTGAAAGGCAATTGCCTTGAATTCTCCTTGACTGTGAAATCTCTTCTTCCTGAACATGATGACACACGCGGCACAGTACAAGACGTGACATCATGGCAGATCGGTTTCTGTTCACTGGAAGGATTTTCTTCAGTGATCATCTGACCAGGAAGTAACGATCACTGCTGTTATGGCTGAGGGGGTTGTTTAATTTATGAAATACAATACAAAATGCACAAAGCATGAAACAATACATTCAGAAACAACTGACTTCCCTTTTCTACCTTTTTTGATCCTTGTCACAGACCAGATGACAAATAACTAAACTAACGCTATTAGTCTACTCTGAATACATCAGTGACACTATAACATGTTCTATCTAATTCATACTTCAGAGCCATCATTGTGGACTCACTTTCAACATGTCGGATAGATGTAGAATGAAATGCACTTCTACAGCGGCTGACGTACTTCACATGTAGATGCCAGGGTTCTCAAAAAGGATCCTTTTTCAAACACTGGTGTCACTGAATAGTTTATATTATTGTTTCTTCAAGGCTTTATCTAAGAAAGTATTACAGTAGAAGTAAAAACAAAAGAGGCACTACTGCTCACCACTGGACTCTGTCCAAGGTGCTGAAAAGAGCCTTTAAGGACTGTGGCACTAGAGAGACTCAAATTCTCAAACATAAAACTGGTAGAGACTAGTTAATATTTTTTTTGCCATCGGTATCTATTCATACGCCAAACAATAAAATGAATGAGAGCTGAAACATTTGTATTATTAATGGATTAGAAAACAGTGCTAATCTAGTCATTGTTAAAGTTACTTTTCTGGCAAACCTGAAAGCCAAACCGTTGCTAGCACCATGTTATAAAATGAGAAGATTTATTTTATTTATGAGTGTCTCTTTCTTGTCTAGAGATGATGCCACATCTGCACATAACAGTAGGTTACGCTTTCCAGGATATACAGTTGATTACAGGATATGGTTATTCCCACAGGCAGACACCAAGCCTATACAAATACTGTAGCTCTTACTCACCAATTTTCATCTGCAGGGGTGAGGGCTTGTAGTTGATAGTGACAGGTTCCCCCTCTCTGGTGTCAGAGTCCGCCTCTGAGGCTGTGGAAGAGGCCGGGTCCTGGAGACAAACGAGACATTGGCATGGACAGAAAGAGGAGCAGAAATGTGCATTACTGATGCATTGATGAATAATTAATGTATTTTTGTAATGCATAATACACCCTACTATGCACAGACAATGTGAATAAAACAGTTCATGAATAGATAAAACACAAGCAAGAGTCTCTCTATCTAAGATATGTAGCGTTATATAGACAGCTTGTTTCAAATCTATTAAGTCTTATACTTCTCAAGAAATAGATACTGTTAATTAACTGTTGTAGGCAAAATAGGTTTTGTCATAGCTACCTCCAACTGATAAGGTGGAGATTGAAACGGCGATTCAAAAATAGATACACTATCTCATTTGAACTTATTTAAAGTGAATGCAAAATACTGAAATTAGTCACAAGTCCCTAAATCCAAGTTTGGGAAACATTCCTAAACAGTCAGATCTTATATCAACAGGGCAAAGATAAGGATAAACAAGACTATCAATGAGGGGCTACTTCACGCACGGGAATGAATTGAGGTACGGGGACGCCTGGAGACTTCAGGTCAGACTACTTCGGGTTGTAGTCTGGCTAGCGGCCCCGGCCGTGGGCAGAAGAGGCCGCCCTGCAGGCTGCAGTAACCCAGGGCCCCGCTATGGCCCACGGAGCGCACCGCCAAATCATTTACACTGATTTTGAATGAAAATACGGCGCTTTAACGTTCCATGGTCGCACATATGTGCGATTAAAGACCGCTCAGTAAACCTCGTCAAGGCGTCACAAGCGGCGTTTAGCCGAAACAACTTGCTGCATGGATGCTGATGATGTAGCAGCAGCGATGCGATGGGACGCTTGTTTTCGCCAGACATGACGGATGCAGCTGACTACGCAGCAGACCGGACGCTGCTTGCATTACACAGTGAAACAAAAACGTCTGTCTATGAGCAAATCAATTATCCTCTGACACGTTACACTGGCATTTTTACATTTTAATGTAGTCGAAAAAAAACTTGATGGAAAATGCCAAACGGTACAACTGCCAGTATTACGCATGGCAGGTGATGGATCTGTCGGGATCCCAAAGCACAACATTATGAATAGAAGGCCTCATACCCTAAACACCCGGCAATAACAATGAGATTGAATTAGAATACAAGACCCATGCATTGATTGATTGTCTCCAACAACTGTCTACAAATATAACTTACCAGCGGCTGCATCTCAGCCTGCATCTCCGCCTCCTGCACGGCACTCGGCACTTGAAATCTATCTATTTCTTCCATCATTTTGCTCCCTTCTTCTAAACACTGTTTATTGGTAACTGGTCGTTTCGACGAGTTGTCGCCGAGGTTGTGAGTTCAGTGATCTCAGATTTGTAACAATCTCTTTAGTTCCACGGTGGCGAGCTTCATCCCAGCAGGCTATGTCGACGGTGGTGTGACCAGTTGGGTGACGGTGACTCTACCACCCACTTCCGGGTAGGGTATCACAAGATAGGGTCCGTTGATCCAGAAGCGGCCCTTTGAAGAGGACCAACGCGGTCCCCAGGAAAATGACACAGTGGTGGAAAGTACATTTAGATATACTTTTACTTTAATTAGGCTACTTATACTTCAATATATTTCAGAGGCAAAATTTATATTTTATTTGTTAAATCAATGACATCAGTTGAAGTTAGGCTAGTACTTTGCATATTCTTATTAATGACACAAAATGTAATTAAATAAATGATACTGTATTAAGATATTTCATCGAACCTCTGGGGAAATTTCACACAGAACACCTAAAACCTCAAATTTAAAGCAAAATCATTGTATAGACACATTTAGCAGTTTTTTTTTTCAAATATCAAAATGTAATCTTATTCTCTCTTGAAATGTCTTTTGAACTGGGTGCAGCTTTCATTTTGTGTTGATTTTGTCAGTTCCTGTGGATGAAAGCAGCTGTGTTTCTGAGCACCAGATTCCCTTTAGAAAACCTCTCATTTTAGTGCAGCAGTTGTTCAACAGTCTGCTCCAGTAAGTCCTGATTCTCATTCTCTTGTGGCTCCCCCGCCCCCCCAACTGTTAGTTCAATCTTTCTTTGAGGGCTTTCCCCTGAGTTCTACGCTGCAGGATTGAAATCACTCTTTTATCCAGGTGCCCGCATGGGTAGATCGCTATACCCCTTGTCAGGGAGAGAATCAAATCCAGATCCAGAATCCAAGGGTATTTGAAGACCAAGCCTGTATAACACAACACGACTATAATTCAATTAAATACATTTCATTTTGTCAATAAACATACAACTTTTCAATGCTTAACTAATGAATGTGGGGTATTTCTTGCACTATATTAATCTATGAAATGTTAATTCACTGTTATCATGGACCACTTAATTGCTAAGTGTTAATGTAACTATTACATTTGTATTAAATTGTGAAACGCTTTCAATTGTAGATTATGAAAACCACTTAGTTTAATCATTTAATGTCCACTACATTTGAATAATGTTAAGAAATACGATGTGAACATATATTTCCTTGTCACAATACTGACTCCTTGCGCTTACAGCACAACAGCAGCACAGTATTGTACAAAGTCAAGCTCGTTTTATAGCCCATGAAGTTCAGCTATAAGTAATTCCCTTCTGTTCACAAAGCAAATAACACAGACGCGCGAACTCATATTACAGAACAATATTTCCATTCACCATTTGATACAATTTGGCTAACGCACCGTTTGCAACAGGTGCTTTGATGTTCGTAACTCACCGGAAAAAATAAAATCCGGAGTTCTCATGGGCCCTTCAATGGTTGACGGAACCCTTACTTGCTCGAATAGTTTTTACATTAAGTACAAGTTTCAAGTAATATGTATTGTCACCCCTTAGTTTCAGTGTCTCTGCTGCTCTCTCACTTTGTTCCACTGGCGTCTGCAAAAGGTCATATGTCACACCAGGTATCACCCATATACACGAGGACCCGTCGTCTTAGTTTGGGTAAAATAGGCGGGACTTGTTGTTTTACACTAATAGCAATCAATTATTTCAATTTGAACCAATGAGCTTATTTGTTGGGATAGAACACTCACTGATGCAAAGTTAGACCTCTGTCTGTGCCTCTGAGCTAAAGCAAAAATAATACATTGAATACAGAATATAATACGTGTGGCTATGAATCACATCAAAGAGTTTGCTCAGTAAATGGAAATATTTTTAAATATTCAAGTCAAATGCTTTTGTCAAGCCCTAGGTGCAGTTCTACGACTTCATTTTCTGGACTGAGTCAAACTGACGCTTCGGTGATTCACTATTGCCCCTCGAGGTACAAGTGGTAATAGCATGCTCATTTCAATATAGTATATCTCTGGGACACAATACATAGACTGTAACCTCTTCACATTCTGTTGATAATGTTAGTTTATTTATTTGAATGTTTGAAACAAAAACATCTGGTTATATCTATCTAAATAATATATCTTTTTTTTACCGACTATCGCCAAATGAGGTAACACAACGGTGATGGAGCCTAAAGCCCATTGGCATTTGCATTATTACAAACAAGTGTTGGTGGCGACACAGGAACAGTTTCAAGTACTGCACTCTGGGAAGTGAGATCCAAAAACCCACCTTCAATTATTGCTTACAACAGAGTATTCCCCCTTTGGCATTGCATCTTTTAAATAAAAGGTCTATACTCCTTCCACCGTGGTAATAGATTAATGTCAGTGATTTGTAATTTGAAGATATGATGTGAGAGAATCACTATAATATGGTATGGCTATGCAAGTCAACTTATTCTTTTTGTTTCTCCTATTTTTTTTCTTTTTGTTTCTTTCTCTTTTGCACGTCTGGAGTAATAGATAAGCCTAAGTCTAAATCTAAAATTGAAATTAAGTGAATAAATGTAGTGAGAGGATCAGAGGATTTAAAATTTACATTTGTTTAATCCTCAAAAACTAAATAAATCTTTAAAAGGAGTCTCTGTTCTGTCAGTCTTGAAATGCAGTGTTTATACTCCAGTTGAATTCACTCAAGACATTTATTTATGACAAAAATACTAGAAAGATCAGAGGGAGACAGCTTAACAACCAACCCATCATTCGGAAAGTCAATTAACAATCGGCTTCATTCAGGGATTTAAATTAAAACGGAAGAAATTACTCAATTAAATGAACAGCTTGGAAGCAATTAATTGGAGCGCCAGAGACAAAACATATGTCTAATGGAAAACCTCAGGAATTGATTCATAACCTGTGGTCTGTGATAGTGAATATAGGTCAAATTACTGTTGTGTAATCTTCAATTTATTCTAAATTATAGTATATTAATAAGTTTAAATATCTTTGGTTTCCTTCTAAACAATTAGAATCACTGAGTTGAAATAACATTGATCAACCTCTGTCACCATTCTAGAAACTGCAGCACAGCCATGACAGCTTTCTGCCTCATCACTCAGCAACGAACAGTTACTGCTATGAACAGTAGCCGAAGACATGCCGAGGACATTAACTCGAGCACATTTTGTACAATCAAATATATTGTACTTAATAATACACTGTGTATTATCAAGTACAATATATTATCTTTAATGAAATGTTTTCTGACAGTGTATTTATACACTGTGGTAATAGTGCTTCCACCACTGACCCGCAGCAAGTACTGCCTGGAAAATAACCACAGAGATGATTTGGCACCTCTATGGAGGTGTAGATTAAAAAACAACAACAAATAAATATTATTAACTTCACAAAAATATGATTTATTCCAGGACTATTGCATTATTCTGTCTATTCCCTCTGTGTCCCTTTAGGGTTGGTAACAATTGCCCTCTGAACAGTTTGCTCCAATCATATACAAACATTGAATCAAAAAGAAAAAAGACCACCATGGACACATGAATTATACATAATGGGGAAAATAACATAACCTCTGGCCCACAAGCAGAACATCCGGAACGTTGTGACTCGTTCGCATTGAAAATCCCTGACACATCTGATTGCACATTGTCCTTACCTGGAGATGCCAGCAGAGAGCAGCAGTAGCATGCTCTGCTGCACAATAATGGAGACGGGGTCTTGGCAGCAATCAGCCACTGCTGCACCCAACAGCAGGTGGTTACAGCTCGAGGCAGCACACATTAAACGTTTAACCAGCAGGTGGCAGTCTCATTCTGCAGGAGAGGAGGTACTCAAGATGGACGGAGGATGAATGACAATGAGGTGTGTGGAGGGTCAAGTAGGTCGTCATATTTTAGTCTAAATGCAAACAGTTTGAGGTCCACATTTCTGATCATGCAAAAGAATTCGATTTTACTATTTGGTGGTCAGTTTGTTGCACTTTGGGAAAGGTGAGACGCTGTTCTTTTGTGAGACACTACAAGTATGTGAAAAATCGATAATAATACATTCACTTTCTTTAATTTTCTCACTCTCCTGTTAGTCATCTCATGCACACTCACAATGTTTCCTTCCCCCCACCATGTCATGCATGCTGCTCATGCTTTTCCTATCACAGCCATTATTCCAGCTTTCATGCATGATTTAACCTCTGTTGACAGAATAAACATTCATATTATTTCAATTACTGGATAATAATGATTTCGATATCAGAGCTGCTTTGTTGTCAACATCGATTAAATGACTGTAAGTCTATGTGAATGTAATTGTGATTAGTGTTCATGACTCCACAGGAGTCCAGCTATGAAGATCTTATTAAGTATGATTAGAATGTTCTCATTAATTATTCATATGCCAGAACAGTAAGATACCAGGACACTTTTAGCCATCCCTGCACATTTTTGCATTGCTCTTGAGCATAATAGTTAATATCATATTCAACCATACAGCCTCAAAGCAACAGTTATGTGTGATTCACTCTCTGTCTCCACATACACACACACACACACACCCACACACACACACACACACACACACAATGTTTTATTTGGAGCCACTAAATTAAATTTTAGATTACATAAGATTGTAAATAGTAAAAAAAAACACTCACACTATTTTTATGGCATGCGGTGTCCAAAACAGAGACTAACATTTGATCCCTTGGTAATTACGTTATACCACACACACACACACACACACACACACACACACACACACACACACACACACACACACACACACACACACACACACAAATACTGCCCATGACTCAGTCTTTGCTGATGTGGGTTACGCAACCCCTCCAGCTGTGCAGATGGAGCTGCAGATTACTGGCCACTCATTTGTGTATTAGTAAGTTGTCCTGATCATTCTATAACACCACGCTGAGGTCAGTGTCACTCTTCCTTCTCAACTGACATTGGAAAATCTGGGATATTGCTTTTGTGCTGTGTAATGCATTCCCAGAAATTGAGGGATGGAGTGACTGATGCAGAGTTCATTCCCCACGTCTGAGCACTAAACCTGCGGTGGAGGGATCAATGGAAGTGTGATGGGCAGGAGAACAGATGGATGACAAGATGGATGTTTATTCAATTGTTTTCTCTCACTGGTATCACACATGATCAATTTATGAACTCCTTTCTTGAGTAGAAGATCTGATTTGAAAAACAAGGTAGGGGAGGAGTGCAGTAGTTCAAAAACAGTGTGTGTCAGAACATGCTGACCTTAACGTTCAACCCACTGTGGAGTAGATCACTGGATCTGCGCTGGGCAGCCTACAAGGGTCTGGCACCAGTTTGGTTAGATGGGAACAGAGAAACAAGTGAGAGGAAAGAGAGCCAAAGAGAGAGAAAGGAACTGGAAGGCAGATCAATAGAAGGGAAGCAGATAAACACCAGCAGATAAACACTAGACTTTCAGATGATCAGCTTCAAATCAAAAGCCAACCAAAGGGCCCAACCATCTGTCTCATAGTTGCTGTAAACCACTGTTTTACACACATATATACATGCAAATAAACAAATAACATTACACTGTTCTTCATCACATGTTATCTTAGTAGTTCACCCATGGGAACCTAAAATAAATTGAATCAGTAAAAAACAAATCTCCTTCCTTTATTAAGTGATAAAAAAAGGTTTTCAGATGCTCCATATATAAAATGACCCTGAATTACAAATATATAATTTCAAGTGAGCATTCTGCATTTAAATTATTTAAGTATTAGTATTTACTATGAGCAAATTACACTTAAAGTATCAAAAGTAAAAGTACACACTATGCACGCAGAATGGTCCCATCTTCTGTATAATCATTATTACAACAAATGATTATTGATGCATTTTTTTAAATGTACACGACTCTTATTCATTTTATATGCTATAGTTGAATCTACCGCAGTGTAGGGGATACATAGCTGTCAACCTAATTCCTCTGAAATGTAATTCAGTAAAAGTACAAAGTTGTGCATGAAATGCAAATACTTACGTTCCTAAATATTGCACTGACTGTAAGTACTTGTAACAAAGTACTGTGTGTGCTGAAAATAGACAGAGATAAATAATGACTGAAATGAATTAAACTTTGTATAATCCAGTTGCTGGTTATCGGTTAACACTCAGAAGTTCCCTCTGTTATAATAATGCTGGATCGTGGTTAAGAGAAGGATCACATGGGTGTAGTTGACCAACAACAGGATGTGGGTCACTGTTGAGGTCAATATGTTCGTCAATGATAACTCCAGTGCAGGAAGCTGAAGTCAATTATTATTTGTATTCTAGCTCTGTTTTTGTTTCCCAAATTTGGAGGGCTATTAATGCTAATACACACAAAGGTGGCCTAGAAGCATTGATTGTGGACCACATTAATTATAAACAGTAAATGATTTTATTGTGTCAGTTAAAGATGAACTCTCATCCATACCACAAGGCATAGAGCTCTACGACAACTACCAAAGGGTTTTTGAGGGGTTATTTTGTTCATTAGTCTTTGATTGATCAAAGTTCTGTTTTTTCTCAGAGTTAAAAAAAATCCAAGTTAAATTCAAAATACATTTTTATGAAGGTAAAAGTTCACACAAGAAGCCACAACTCAATTGTGATTTAAATGATTTATCAAATACCAAACGAGTCATTTCAGTACAAATTACTGTTCATCATTAGGGCTCCATGTAATCTGCACAGAAATATATCATGTAATGGAACAGAAAGTGCTGCACAGACAATCAAATCAGCATATTATTATTTTAGCAAGCTAACTTATACCTGAGATTAGATTTTTGTTTCTCGAACACAAAAAAACCCTGATCTCCGTAAAGAGCCCTTTCATTAATAAACATTGGATCTACTAGTCAAGACAAAAACATATAGAGGTATACAGCTCTCTTTATTCTGATGATGCAGAGATACATGTATGACTGCCTTGTCACATTGTCTCTCTTCCATCCTTTAGAGAATATTGACATCACGCAGTTAGTGTGTTAGCTGCAGTACATTCACTCCAATAAATACAAAAGTCACTCGTATGAGACCGTGAGTGTTCAGTAAGTGTCATTTCTGGTGAACGCTGTAAATAAATATCTTATTCAGTCTTTGGGAGATCATAAAATGAAAGAGAGGCAGTCTGGGACACAAGTAACATTTTTGCTGCTGCAAATCCCATGGGAGTTGGATCGGTGAAAGCTTGTGTGTCAAATAGGGAGACTATCAAACAGGGGCCTCGAGCTCCCTCTCGGTAAACAACACATCAAAGCATCCCCTCTTCGATTCTTTACTTGAACTTTATGATTCCCATAAAAAAACTGTCCTTTTTTCTCCGTCTGTCTGCCTCTCTGCCCTGTTGTGACTCTCACACACTTTCTCCAGCTGCATCTCTCTCCATCCTGACTTTCAGGCTTTTGGTTTTGGCAGCTCTGTCGTTGCCGTTATTAGGGATGCAGCTGGCAAACACGAAGCTGCTCGTGAGCTACTTGTACTTCTTCTCTTTACCTCTAACATGTTATTGTCACGCTCAACCAACCCCATCGACCCAAAGTATCCCCATACAATCCATTGTGTCTTTGCAGTCTCTCCTCCACATCCTCTCCGTTGTGTGATATGGAGGGATGAAGATGGCTGAAGTAGAGGAGGAGCTCATGGTCTGCCTGCGGAGAGCAAAGCAAACTGACAGATGGACAGTCCCTGCGACGCGCAGCAGAGATAAGAGGATTGGGCGCGCTTGTATGTTGTTGTTGGCCTTGCCACAACTCTTATTGCAGTTAGCTCACTCTGAGCTCCACCGAATGGCGTGATGAGAGGCTGATGGAGAAATGTGAACATGTATGTTCATGTAAAACACAAGGAGTTAATGAATGAAAATAACGAGTAGTACATATGAGTATAAGTGATGAGTAGTTGAAGCCAAACAAAATGTAGAAGAGCACTTAAAGTTGCTAGTCCAGCTAGTCTCCTAACACTCTGTAACTCAACTTTTGGTCTCTACGAGATGGACAAAGTTGAATAATATTTACATTTCAAGTCTATGTCCTTCATGCTCAGGCTGCAGTCAGCAGGTATTTCTGTTCAGGCATCTTCTTCCTCTTCTCCGGCACTGCTGTGAAACCTGGCACTTGGTGTGAAGGCACCTTGCAGGCCTTGTAGAGGATGACGAAGAGGATGAGGATGAGGACGCCCACCACAGAGTTACAAACGATAGCTATGATGGCCCACACAGACAGGCCCATCATCAGATCATGCTCCATGGTCGACTGGACTGCCGCCTCCAGACCCATTAAGGACACATCCCACTTCAGAGATGGGTCTGAGGTCTACAACTGGTGCCAGGTCCACAAGTCCACAGATTCTCCCTGGAAGCAGAAAGAAAATGCATCGCATGAGTTTTTTTCCCAGCACACACAGGTTAGCATTCTTGGCAACAGTTAACCTGCCTGTCACGTGGGCCAGCTGAGTCTGCTATGAGGTCAGCTCAGTAAAGATTACTTTCTCCCTGACAGGGTAGTCACCAGGACAAAGTGGCTTTATCCCTTCAGACACTATTCATATGGAATAACTTGCCTATTCCCGTGCTTTTCGTTGCACAAGGGTTTTATTCTCAAGATTTTTTGAGAGGCAATAAGTGCATTATGAGCGTGTCTAATAAAGCTGCACAATGCATAGCATTATATTATCTCGGTACTTGTAATGTATGAGAAAATTGTCAGGCAGGTGCAGAAAATAATTCATTTGTTGTGTATAATAATCTGTGGATGATAGGAGAGTATTACAGGACAAGAAAGTGCCTTTCGGCTGCAGTGCTGTGTTGAAACATCCTTTTTTAGACTCGTTTCCTTTACACAGGCGGAGAGTGATGAAGTTATTAAACTGATAAAGAAGGTGCCAGTAAGCACTTTACCTCACTGAATTATTTTGAATGCGTTTCAGCAGTAATGTGTTTTCAGAAGGAACATGTGGGAATATAGTTGCCAGTTTTGTGGCTGATATTAAATGGGTCACTGAGGTGTGCTGGTGTGTGTGTGTGTGTGTGTGTGTGTGTGTGTGTGTGTGTGTGTGTG